CCCTCCCCCCACCCCCACACACACACACACCCCACACACACCGCGCGTCTTCCCTTTTCGGTGCCTCACCACAAGTTGCTCCCAATTAGGTTGCTCTTGCCGTCCTCGACTCGCGCTGGATTCGCGCGCCCGCGTTCCGCCTCGCAACGCCACCGACGGCGCCCTGCCCCCTTGCCCCCTTTGCATCCTGAGAGACGGCCTCGAGCGAGGTTGGCGTCGCCTTAGGCCCTCGACCGGCTCCTCTGCGTCGTCTCGGGCGCACCCGGCGCGCCGCTGGTCGCCAAGCTGGCCCGACCGGCAGCTGGGGAGGAGATGGCCGCCCTACGGCGTGAAAAGTCGTGGCCGCGCTACGTGCTGGCCATGGTCCTCATCCCGCTCCCGCTCTGCGCCGCAACTTACGGCGCCGCGCTTCCGCGCCAGTCCTAGCTCCTGCGCGCCGCGCCGCGCTCCATCTGCTCATTTTTCTAGGTCTCGAGCTGCTCTTCAAGGCGCCCTGATCTCGCCCCGTTCGCCCCTTCGCCCCCCCCCCCCCCCTTCTCACTGTCTGGGGTTTGGCATTTAACCCGCGCCTCTCACATTGACTCTCCCTCGACTCCCAAACGACCGGTGAGCAAGGCGTCGAATCAAGGGGCGTTGCCAGCCACCGCCTTCACGCCGCTGTCATCCCACAACCCGGCAGGGGCTCGACCCTCTCGACCCCAGCCACGTTGCGTACGCCGGGATCGGGCTGGACGGCTGGCGCCCATCCTGCGCCGCTGTCTGAGACTCGTCGGCGCGGGCCGCGCGGCACGCGTCGCCTCGAGCGCGTCGCGCGGAAATACGCGTGGGAAACACGAGGAGGGCGACCACCCGCCATAGCGCGGTACCGACCCCACGACTCTCGCCTCTCCCTACGCGCTGGACCGCGGTGCAAACGCGTCTGCACTCCGCGTTTGCATCGTCACCAATTTCCTGTGTTTTTTCTGTCGAGGGAGTTTAGTGGCATGTGCCATGTGTGCAGCTGCTGAGTCGCGGCGGGTCCACACTCCAACGGTATCTCGACGATCTCCCCTCCGCGACCCACTGCACTTCCCTCTCTATAGAGGGACGCAGCTCCCCAAAACGCAAAATGGTCATTAGGTTTTT